TTTTGTTCAGCATCAAAAGGTTTGCATGAACAGATTTTCACTTGAAGGACGAATAGGTCTTACAATAAAAACAAGTATGCTACCTAAATACTCTGACTATTTACAAAAAAATAGGTATTGCATTGGTTGCTTAATTCATGGTGATCAATAAGGGAAATAAAACACTGTGAATCCAATGTGTAAATGTAAAAAAATGTGCACACTGAACTGACAAATCATTTATCAACATACCTGGCAGTCTTGGAGCTCATTTTCAAGGCACTCTGATGTAAATAAGCAAAGGCATGCATTTTAGTGACAATACAGTGACTCTGTGAGCTGTGCACTGTAACTTAAGAAAAAATATCATTGATCTGTAAATAACAACAATGATAAAATAGGGTTATAAATGGATCCCTTCTAACACAAAGGCTGACCAGAAAATTAAAACACATATAAAACCAATTACTTTCGATTTGTTAAATGTATGAATTGTGAAGAAATGTTCGGTACTTATTCTGCAAATCTGTTCCATCCCTCGGTTCAATTCAATGAATCGGTTCAATGGACTTGTTGCACAGAGTAAACATATTCCGCTTGCACTAGTTATTAAATATATTATTATACCCTCTATTCATGCCATCAGTTCGTCTCTGTTACAAAGTCAATCGCGGTCTCAGTAGGTGTCATCAGCTTTGGGCGCATCCGACAGAGACTCGGTTCAGAGCTGATGATTCGAGAACTTGCAAGCGGTTTATGAGTTTGAAATTCACGTTTATAACATTAACATTAGTTAAGCTCGATCATTAGAGTCGATCATCAGCAGTCGTTTTGATTCAATGCATTGTTTAAGTACTGGAGCATGCCAGACACGTAAAAAATGACTCATTCACTAAAATGAAACGATTCAGTAGAACAACAATCGTGTGCTGCAGATTCACTCATTTCGGCCACGTATAAAACAAAATACTTTTATAATTATAGATGCAGATGTTTAACGTAACTTACTCTCATTTGCGGGTGAATGTTTTATGTTGTTATGGATGGACGTGTGTTAGCCGTAAGCAACATTAGCAGTCAGCAGCCTATGGCGTGAATAGACACAGGAAAGCACATAAAGTAAAATGATAAATATTTGAGTATACCTTTTAACAAAACAAGCTTACATTTGCATTTATGTATAAAAAATCTAAACAAAAACTCACTGTTTAACTTGACAAAAGTGAAGCCGCCTCTCCACTGCAACCATGACACCGAAAATGATGAATTCCACATTGCCACCTAGACTTTGACGCAAACGCAATTGGTGCTTTTGAAAACACTATTGGTTGAGTTTAGGCAAGGAGGAGGGTGGGTCAGTCTATCGTTCAGTCGACAGCAGCCTCTGGTGGATTTACGAGAGAACAGCAGGCACGAATGGCACTCGCAAGAGAAATTTGAGATCTCAAAAAGCGTACACAGCAGCCTCTGGTGGATTCACAAAAACAAAAACTGCAAAAAAAACGTAGCTCCTAAGCTGTTTTTGGTAAATTTGATGTTTTCTTCTGGCTGCCAATTATCTGTCACTATTTTTTCCTTTTTCTGAAAGTCTTGATAACACCGTCGTTAAGTTTTTCTTTTATTATTTTAGCAAATAGGATTATATTACATATATTGTATTTAACATATATATATATATATATATATATAATAATGCTCAAATGATACTGAGCATGCATTTACCTTTTTATCTTTGTACAAAATGGAGACAATATCTTCAATATAAAAAATATAAATCTAGAAAAATTCTGGTTTAGAGTCTCTAATTAATTCATTGTGGTGAGTCATTTATGATTCACAAGAGGCTTCTATACAGAGTATTTTAATTATAATATCTTTCTGGAATTTGTGTATTAAAAATGTTCATTCTTTATACTGGCATTACAGTTGTAGTAAATGTATGCATATAAAAATCAAGGAGGAATTGTGTGACTCAGAACACATGGCAATTACAGTTTGACCTGACCAGAAAGGGGCTGCTTAATGTCACAGATCAAGTTGTACCATTTGGACTTGTTTAACAATCGTAAACAGTTCCATGATTCACAGCTTTAAAAAATGCCCAAAAAATGTTCAGTTTTCAAAATTTAGGCTACTGTAAGTGGGACTGATTGTGTCCAGTATTGGCCAACAGGTCAACAGTCTCCTCTACTGGTGAAAAAGATGAATCACATATTGAACGGTTTTAACCTGTTTCTGCCGTTTGCCTGTTGAACCAGTTTGCCATTTTAGTTATCCATCATATAAAGAGTATTTCCTAATCACTACATTGGGCTACAGTCTATGCCAGAGGTGCCAAACGTGGTCCTAGGGGGACCTGAAAAGTTTAACTCAACTTCCATTTTTAAAACACCTAATTCAGTTCTTATTCATACGTACATATATAAGAAAGATGAAGCTAAAATCAGGACGTTGGAACTTCAGGGCCAAGGGATGTCAATTTCTATTAAACGTTATTTTATATATATATATATATATATATATATATATATATATATATATATATATATATATATATATATATATAACAATTCAATTCATCTTTAATTGAATAGTGCTTTTACAAAGTATATTATGTTAAAGCAGGTTCAAATAGAAGATTATAGTAAATTGAAAGTGTAGTGTAGTTTAATTTCAAGTTCAGTTTAATCAGTTCAGTGTGTTTTAATATTTACTGCTGAGAGTCCAAACAATGAACAGTAATTCATCCAAATAACACTTAAAACCGCTTTATTTCGTTAATATTTGTTCATCAACCATTGCTTTCATGTCACTTGCTATCATTTTCACTCATTTACGAGGCGTTTGCGGTGTCTTGTTCAAGATCTTAGGTGAAATATGCTGCTGCTGCTTTTAGTATGGCAATAAACGTCATGTAAAAAGGCATTCAAACTCACATTGTTAGCATTTAACACTGAATGAGCTGTACATGAGGTGATCGTGTCATCAAGTTTTCTGTTGTTCAGCTGCAAAAAAATAGACATTTCAGGTGTGGGTTAGGACAAAAACTCCATTTAATATGTTAAATATTCCTTCTATTGCGTGCAGTTGCTTTTATTTAAACACGACTTAAATCACTCTTTAGGCTTGATAGTCAGACTCACTCCTGTTGGTCGTCAGTATGACAACCTATGCTTGTGTTTTTATCCAGGAATGTAAAAGCCACTGGGTCTCAAACTGACGTACTGCACATTTAACAAAAGAAATGGACACAACTGTAATTAGAAAAAATAATTTAGTTCATTATTAAAATAAAACATTGATTTCAATTCCATGCTTTTTGATAAGTAACATTTATATCAATCATTAAAGGGGAATCCAGAATTTTAAAAGCATAAGAAATAACACAAATATATCACTGATCAAAAGCTCTGAATGCATTTTTGAGAGAAGACTGCAGTTATAAGCTTCTATAAAGAAATAAAGTTAGTAGGATAGTAGGTTAGGCAGAGGCGAGATGAAGCTCCAGGCCTCTTGACGAACTCTATCATGAGAAATTGACAGTGACAAAAGAACAGTGGGTTCCACAACCTGAGGAGTCAATCGCAGGAACTGTGATAAAGCATCATCAACTACACAGCCCAGTTTTTCTAACATGAACAATGTGACTGTGGAAAATCACAATGTAATGGACTCATCTACACTCCATGACTAACATTTGTCAAATAAAGCCACTTATTAACATATAACGATGAAAATTTAAAAGACCACTTGATAATTCACTGGATTTGTCAGGCATGAATGAGTACTACGTGTTTAAAATTGTTTGATTTTATAAATTTTCTTCAGAAAAGTTAGGGTTAGGTTATTCCAGAAAATATTGCTTTTACTTTCATGAAGTTAAAACCTTTATATTGGGTTAAAGAAATGTCCTTTTGGTATTTTATGCTCAAAATGACAACATTTCTTTTCCCAATTAAGAAATACCAATTAAATTGGGTCATGACCGAAAAGACAAGATCTCAGATACAAGCGGTCGAAATTTGTTTCCTGGCAGGGTGCACCCTTATAGATAGGAGGCGCTCAGAGTAGAGCCATTGCTCCTCCACATTAAGTCAGCTGAGGGGGTCAGGCATCTGTTTCGCATGCCTCCTGGATGCCAACCTAGGGAGGTGTTCCAGGTATGTCTAACCGTGAGGTGGCCTCAAGGAAGACCCAGGACATGCTGGAGGGACTATGGGCATACACACACTATGTACAGTTGCCTTGAACCGGGCCGAAGCACACTTGTCCCCTCTCCCGTCTCCCCTGACGGCCTGCATTCACATTACATTCGGGCCTGAGCACTCTTACGTCATCGATGATGCACTGTTCAGTGTAAGAAGCTCTCTCGCTTAGCAGTGGAGATTTCTTTATATCGTTTTAGTCATTTGGGATGCAGTGACGCATTTCTTCAAACAAATCAGCCACTTTTTACGCTTTTTACAATCATAAAGTCCTCGTGCTGCATGTATTAGGAGGTTTGCTGAAGGTGCAGCTGTCATGGGTTTGCAATGAGGGGTTTGCGTCTTTAATAATCTATGATAGTTTGCGTTCATTGAACAGTAATAATGATTAATAAATGCATATCAAACAGTCCCTTAAAAGCCACGTCTCGTCTTCAGTTTCGGGCTCAGGCACGCTTTGCATTCACATTACAAGCGTACCCGTGCCTGAACCCAAGTGAACCGTGCCTGAGCCCGATTCAGAACACTCACTTCTTAATCAATCCGGAAAATGGGCCTAGGCATGGTTCGGATAGCATAGTGTGAGTACACCCTATGTCTCTCCGCTGGCCTGGGAACGTCTCGGGATCCCCCCAGAGGAACTAAAGCAAGTGTCTGAGAAGAGGGAAGTCTGGGGATGTCTCCTTAGACTACTGCCCCCACGACCGGTCCCAGAAAAGCAGATGAAAATGAATGAATAATTCAATGAATTAAACAGGAAAAAAAAGGTCAATTTTGTTTTATAGCGGTGTTTAGAAAAAAAAATCCCCAAACAAATACAAGTAATTCATTTATTTACACTGTTTAAAATACACAAATACGGTGGTAATACAAATTCTTACAGGACTGACAAATTGGCATGACTTCCACAAAAATGTGTGGAGCCCAAAACAGCCGTGGGCTTCAAAATGAGGGAGAATCAGATGAAAATATTACCCAGGAAGTCGCCAAAGTCCCCTTTACAGATGACGAGGGAACGAGATGACCAGACCAGCTTTCAAGGTGCATTAGAAAAGCCACATCAGTGCTGGAATATTTCAGAAACGGGGAAAATCCATGAACATCAGAGCAAGACTTTGATTCCTTTTCATCCTTCACAAACACAATCACCAACAAAATCACTTCCCAAAGCCGCCAGAACACAAACGTCCTCTACCAATCATTACGTAGCAGGTCTAACCATGATTCAGTCCAATGATCCAAAAGATATAAAATAAAAGCTTCCTCAAGAGTCAAAGTTCATGTTCAGAATGCACGAAAACCCCAAAGTCTGGCACTTCATTGTTGTGGCTTCGTGAAAGAGTGGATTAAAAAAAGTAACTGCTGTCAGCTTCAAACCATCTGCGGTCATTTCAGTCCTTCTAAAGAGTTGTGTGGAAACATTTACACAAATATTTTACAGTTATTTCACAGCTTGGAAACAGAAGGACACACAAGAATGGGGGTGGGGGGCAGTATTGTACAGTTAGAGAGATCAATATAGCAGACGAACGAGTGGAAACCAGTCAGTTTGCTATGAGAGATGTGTGCTGAGAGTTTGGCCCCTTTGTGGTTCGTCCACTTTACACCACCAGCTTCACCATCAGAAAGGAACCTCATCAGCTACTATTAAAACGTACATTAAAAAATAAATACAGAGTAAATAATTATAATTAAAAAAAATTGGAGTGAACCCAAACCAACGTCACCAAACAGACTCGTCTGTTGCCCAGGTTAAAATACAAAAAGAAAATTCAGTATACAAAGAAACAAAATAAACGACCCATTTAAACCACACAGACGAAACGTTAGCCTCGAGAGAACCAGAGAAAAGTTGTGCAGAGCTGAATGTGAAGAAAAGATGCAGAGAATGAATGTGAAATGGCTGGCTGATCCAGGATCTGATCGCTCAGCTCACTGGTGTGATTTCACAACAGGCCGTAGCTCTCATGGTCCATGAGAACATTTAAAGAGCGAAGGAGAGAAAATATGAGAACGTATTAGAGAGAAGTAGAAGAAGAGAGAGCCTGTAAGCAAAAAGAGGTCAGGTTGGTTCTACACCATTTTGGTTTGGTCGATAGAAGAGAGACTGACGGCTCTATCTATAGCTGATGATGAAGAGCTGTCAGTCAGCCGTGTGTAGTAAGGTTGCCCATCCATCATGCTCCATATTGCAAAGTGGAGGCTTCTGGGACATGGAGACAATCTGTGAACAGCAATGAGAAAAAGGGACACAGTAAATGATGACTGCCATTAGAGTCTGGTAATACTTGAGGATAAGGTATCATTTGTTGACACTAGTTAATGGATTACCCATCATTGCTCACTAACAAGCAGCCATACGATTTTAAAGCATTCATCACCATTAAACTAACATGGTTTTATACAGAATTTCTGACATTGAAATAGACGGACAACTTGAGAAAAAAACTTGAAGGAATAAATGACATTTACATTTAAATGCTTATTTAACTTGTAAAGTTTTTTGCCATTCCACAAAGTATCTTTAAAATACATGAATCCTTTCCATTGCTCTAAAGCAGAGATGCCCAAAGTAGGGCCAGCAGGCCAAAGTTGGCCCAATGTAACCTTTAATTTGGCCCACCAACCCATCTGAAGGGACAGTAAAAATGATGGAGAGGGCTGAAGTGAATGCCTTTAACACAGAGCTTGTCATTTCTCATTCGACGTAACATTTTTTGTGTTTTGTAGCTGAGCTACAAAAAAGCAAACTGAAATTAAATGTTTCAATTAAATAAATCGTATTTTTAAACGTAAATACTGTCACTCGACTGATCCGACTGATTGGGACCCTGCAGCCCAAGACCGGTTACTCACTGAAGCTAAGCAGGGCTGAGCCTGGTCAGTATCTGGATAGGACACCACAAAAGAAAACTGGGTTGCTGTTGAAAGTGGTGTTAGTGAGGCCAGCAGGGGGCATGCCCCAGTAAAATGTAGGGCCCTCATTACTGTTAGTTGGTGCGTTTTTTTAAAAAAGTTTTAAGACTTTTAATCCGAGGTCCTGACTCTCTGTGGTTATTAAAAATCCCATGGCATTTTTCGTAAAGAATAGGGGTGTAACCCCAGTGTCCTGGCCAAATTCCCTCCAACTGCCCTTACCCATCATGGCCTCCCAATCATCCCCATCCACTGAACTGGCTCTATCACCAGCTATGTTTCTATTCACATATTTTTATGTGCATTTAGCATTTGCGCATAAAAATCAGTTGACGGTCACGCCAAGATGCACATATATTTTTAAAATGTGCATAAAAAACATATGTGAATAACTGAGTAGGATACACTTAATATTGGATAAGAAGATGTGCATAAACTACGTTGGAAACATTTTTAAGCGCACAAATTTCAGTATGCGGATTTAAAAAAGGTCATGTGATTTTGATATAAGAGATAAAAATAATAAATAAAAATGTGTGTGAATGGACATACCAGCAGGCTGAGCACACAGTAAACTATCTAAAATGTTGTTTTGGTCATTCTAAAACGTCTTACCGTTTAAGTATTAGTGTTATTATATTATTAATGACCTCCAGAATCAAGAGCGTCTGTGCTCTGCGTCTGACACCTTCAAACGCCCCCGCACGTCACTTCGTGTCAGGATTGCCTTCGGAGGCGCAAGTTATTGGCAAGCAAGTTATTGGCAAGCAAATTAAGGCAAACACTAGTGTAATTCTGTTTTTACTGAAACAAGCTTATTATAAAATGTAAAAGTAACTATATTTACCTTCAGCCCACTAGCCTCAATCAAACTTAGTTTTTGGCCCTTCAAAAGAAAAAGTTAAGGCATCCCTGCTCTAAAGGTTGCTTTTGTATGTTTTAAATGTTAGTCATATCTACTAGATTTGTTTTTTATTTAGGAGAAAATAGTAGGATTGCATCGAATCGGTTTTCTACTGAAGGAGAAAACCTAAAATACAAAACAAAATGAGCCAAAAAAAAAAAAAAAAAAAGAGGCTCCTTTTTCAGTGCGCTGATTTTACTTTAATGCAGTTAAACCCATTTATTTCAATCTGCCAACCAAAATGCAAGAACAGTGGAGAGCACTGTCAAATAGCTTGTGTGCGCATCTGTGCTCAAAATTCAAAATAGCAAATGTTCCCATATATAAACATGCTCACTGAAGTCCCTTCAAATAATGCACCAACAGGAGGTTTCTATATAATATACTATTTCCTGCTGCTGGCAATATCACTTTGTACTGTCATGGCAACACTGGTAAAATGACTCCAAATAAAATAAATACAACTTCACTGTCAATAAAATGTGATTATTATATTGGCTTGTGTGTGTTTTTTAATCAGCATAATTAAAGTTACTGAGTAAAATATATAAAGTCTCACACAATAACTTTTTATTGTTTAATAAAATAAACATTACAATGAGCATTTTTGGTGTCAGTTTTTAGCCAAGTGTATCCAGAATTTTCATTTTCGGCATCCCTACAAAGTAGCTCCCATCATTGGTATGTATGATTGTTTGCATAAGATTCACATAAAAAAAAGTTAATTAAAAAAAAGCTAATTAAACTCACCTGGTACACCTGCCTTCACACAAGAATGTGAGGAGCATCTACTTGCCGTGGTGATCGAAAGGAATGCTATTCTGGGGTAAAGGGAGAAGGAAAGAGAGAACATTACAGTCTTCCACAACAAAACCATTTTTGCACTAACACACTACTCACACCAACCCATAATCATAATGTCTGACATATTGAAAAATACAAACTCAAAGACTTTTCCAAAAACAAAAAAACAGATTTTAGCATTTAAATTTCAACAGCATCCCACAAATTGGTTTCCAGTTTAGCTAATAAGCAGATTAAACGTAAGCTTAACGTGACGCATCAGAAAGTGTAGCCATCGTGAGAATTAAAAGATCAATTATTGCAAATCAATCAAAGATATTTCATATCATATTTATTTATTTAAAGAAATATTTTTTAAGTTTGGATACAAGACCTGTGCATGTAGTCATTCAGAGGCAACATGCAATATACAATTGGCTCTGGCAGAATCTCTTATCAGTAAAACAAACATCAAAGCAGCTCATCCAGAAACAAGACTAGCAGCTTTTCTAATAAGATTTATTAAGGATTTGACTGCTCTGCTGAAGGCCATTATTAGGGCCGTATGATGTCTGTGATGCAGAAAACACAGACACACAGTTCTTTTTAAAAACCTAGTTATTTAAACTGGAATGTCTAGATCATAAATAGTGCTGTAGAGTTCATCAAACTGCAAAATGGACTGCTGTCTGAGATTTTCAAATCTAAAGACTTAAATAATGGGTCTGCCTTTTCTGCATGTATTCGTGAATGAATGACACGGTTTGCTTTACTGCACACAATCTAATGTATTTATCTATGCATGTATCTGATCTATTTTGAGAACATACACACACAAACTTTATTTCCAAAGCTGGCACTTGACCGTTTACGTGAAAATCTTTATCATGTACACATGGAAACTCATTATCTCAAGGACAACCCATTAAAATAATGTTTAGTTTAACCTGATAAAACAATTTATGATTATTTAGTTAAATTGCTCAAATTGTTGTTACATTGAATAAGTTTTATTATTTAAAATAAATAGACAAGCTTGTTGACTACTAATAACTGTTTTAAATATTAAAATGGAGTCGAAAACATGGAAAAAACAGAATCCTTTAAAAAAAAATTTTTTATTATTATTAAACCGAGAAACACAAATTCAGGAAAAAAATTGTTTAACAAAAAAAACCAAAACAGCATTATGAGCAATGGTTTATACCTGTGATGTGGACATGCGGGAAGTGTCTTGTCGCCCCGTCAGGTCTGAGGATGACACGTTTACTGGGGCGCCACGATGAAGCCGCATGCTGACCTTGCGTTCACGCTCCATCCCAGTGACTGGTCTCGGTGAGGATGTGTTTGCTGTAAAAAAGGAAAAGAGGACTACTTATATCAGTATTTCAAGTACGTAGGAAGAGAGCAGCTGGACAGAATGTTTACCTGTGTGAGAGGTGGGTGTGAGTGGGGTGGGTGGAGCACCGTCCTGTGTAGGCCGGGGTCTGCCTGATGCTGCTGGGATCCCTCGAGCAGCAGGATTCCTGCTGTGCCTCATTCGCTCATCCCGCTCTCTCCTCTCACGATCTGCTTCCTCTGCTGTACGGTTAGCGCCCTGACAAATGGTAAATTAAATGAAAAATAAAAAAAAAATGAAACCAAACAGTTTCTTCATAGTAAGTATCATCATGTGACAGAAAATTTACTTGATGCTAAAAATACAAGTTTGCCATCACAAGACGAAAAAACATCCCAATATATATTTAAAATGTCCAGTAATAGTTTACTTTTTTGATCAAATAAATAACTGCACGGTTTGCCAGCACAAGTGACTAGTGGTGTAACGGATAACAAATCTCATGGTTTGGATCACATTATGTTTTTAGTCACAGATCGAACCATCTTTCAGATCAGTCAAAAAGAGAAGACAAATGTCATTTGCTTTTATTACATAAACAGCACTGCAAGAAACGGTTGGTTTCATAAAAAAATTAAGAAATAATCAGCTGAATAAAATTTTATTGTAAAATATTCATTACTGTGAAAAATTCGCTGTTACTACTACTGTTGCTGATAATGTTAAATGTAGAAATCTAAGATTATAATTATAACAACTCATAATTACTTTTAGTCTCATTTTCAATAAACGATTCAGTTGTTCACTCAAAACTTTGTTTCATTGCTAGATGTCTCATTTTCACAGAATTATTCAATGGCATATTTTTTATGTCTAGTTGTCGCCACCTATTTGTTAAATAATGTAATTGCTGCCTACAACTTTCATTTGAGCACATGATGGTGATTGTAATTCTTACCATAAACATCAGTGGTTTTATCTTAACTATAAACTGTTCTCCTAGTACTTCTGTGTTATTTGACTGTTTGTAACTTCATAACAAACTCAAAAGACTAAAAACTGAATCTCTTTCTTGATTTTTGTGTTTTTTCAAACACAAATTTGAATGAAGCGATTTGAAGGATTAATAAACATATGCAAATCCCCATCATTTATAATAATGTTGCGTGGGTGTTGAGATCCAGATTTTTTTTATGATTAATCGTGCAGCTTAAACTGAAAGCATAAATGCAGGCTAAACAGGTAGTGACAGAAAACACCTTTAATAACTCACCACCCCCCCCCCCCCCCACATCCCGAATAACCACAACTTCTTTTGTCATCATTATACTTTACAGGAAGGCCTAAATGCTTTCATACAAGTGCTTTGAATGATGCGAGAGGCCATCTCTCTGTGATTGTTACAAATTTAGGATTAATCTAGTGGGTTAAAAAATGGATTAATCCGTGGGTTGTGTGTTACAAACCGTGTTGTGATCCGTTACACCCCATCAAGAAAACAAAAAAATTTCCAAAATGGACAGAAATTCTATAATTACATGTCTGTATTAATAATTAATGATTAAATATTTTTGCAGACACAGATGCATTAGAATATAAACTTATATTTGAACTTGGCTGATCACATCGACTTCTGAATTACGGTTTTAACACATGGTAATTTTATAAGTTATTTAAAGAGTGACTATCATAAATATTCTCTAATATTTAAAAACTCAGAAATCCATCTACTATCTGCACAAGCAAAACACACCCAATTAAGCGCTGCTCATTGATACATTCTAATAAACCAAACACAAGTATGCAACCCTAATACAAAATGATCACACTCTAAAGTATGAAGATCATCCAAACATGTACTTACAAATTTGAGCATGTTCCAATCAAACACGTAGTCATAGGAAAAGCCCTGTCTGTGGAACAGATTCCTGAAGAGCTGCCTCAAATACGAGTAGTCTGGCTTATCATCAAATCGCAGTGACCGGCAGAAGTTGAGGTATGTGGCAAATTCAGCTGTGGGATGCATATCGAAGCTTTTAGGCACCATTTTCAAGCACAAACAAATTTCAACATACGCAACACAGATTTAAACATACATGGGTAGCCCTTGCAGAGAACTTCAATGGGAGTGGACATTTTCTTTTCACTGATACGCTCATACTTCTGTCTCTTGGTGGCGGCTTTCAGTCCCTGCCAAGGCAGTGAGCCCAAGTTGAAGTACATCAGCACATAACCAAGAGACTCCAGGTCATCTCTCCGAGATTGCTCTGTAAAAATATAAGAGCAAACAATTAGAAGTGTGGAGCATGCAAAGATGAAATGCTACTGTACAGTGATTCATGAACAAGGACTAGCATCGATGCATGCATGCACAAACTCTTCTGGGAAATGCTAAAAATATACATGCATCCTCTTGAGCATGAGTGCACACCGATGTCATACAGAGCAGTGATTTTTACGCACAATCTTCTCTAGGGTTTAAAAAGAAAGAAATATTCAGCAAGTGAGGCAAAGTGCCTTGATGGTGCCAGTGGTTTAGTGAAGAGTAAAGACTTGTTCCTGGTAATAAAAAGTTAAAGGAAAATACATCAAAAAATTTTAAATTCTGTCATCATTTACACATTCTCTACTGGTTTAACAGATTCTTTTGTTATAATTTGAAGAATGCTCAAAACCTGTAACCATTTAATTCCATAATATTTGGTTTTACTACTATGGAAGACAATAATTAATGGTTTTCAGGTATTTAATCAAAATATCTTTTTAGTGGTCAACAAAATCAAGGAATTCACAAAGGTTTGGAATCATTTTAGGGAGAGAAAATAAAATATATTTTTATTTTTTGGTTCAGCCTAATAATCAGCATGAAATTCTGTCGACAGGTCAGGTGTCTGGTGGTGTATTGGTTTTGGGTAGTAATTTTTGGCACACTTTACATCCTTATTATCATATTTTAAAAACCTACAGACTAAATGTGAGGCTCAAAATTGCAACCATTTTAAACACATATGCACCCGAAATTTTATCTATGTGACCTCAAAATAAATTTGGGAGCATTTGTGAGAGTGCATACAATTGCTGCCATGCAACCAGTTTTCACTGCAAAATGTTCACTGCATGCACAGATTCAGGAGACATTCACGCAGAATGCATCTTTGCACCTAAAACGCAGCACTCAGGAATGGTTTGAAACCATTCACATCAAGCTCTTCTTATTGGCTCACTGCTCTTGAACTGAATGTGAACGGATTGGCTAATATCAGCTGTCAATCAGAGTCAATGCCTTCCTTCTGATGACAGGGAGCTATTCACAAAAATGTGAAGGTCTGAATATGGGAGAATGAAAATAACACTGACAGTTTTTGTTTTAGAAACCATCTAAAGTTACAAATAATGTCACATCCTATTAGTGATCATGTGGTGAATGTTAATTCACCATTTACACTTTTTGAAGAGTGGATAAAAGACTTCCAGTGGGTAAAAGTCCACTATGAAAATGACTAAAGCCATTCACCATAAAGTCTGTAGGACGGAGTTCGCAGGTAACAGCATTTGCCACAAAATCTACACATTTTAATCACAAGATGTTCTATTAAAGCATTCATTTACTCATCACAATGCTGTCGACTGGTGTGCCTAAATTAAAGTTAGAAGCAGCAGTGCTACCAAGCAAAAAGGTTAATCTCGAGTCCTAAAATGAGTATTGTTGTTGACATAGCCCAGGGGTCGGCAACCCTCACTAGGGCATGCGGCTCTTTAGCGCTGCCCTAGTGGCTCCCTGGAACTTTTTCAAAAAATGTTTGAAAATGGAAAACGATGAGGGAGGTAAATATATTTTTTGTTTTAATATGGTTTCTATAGGAGGACAAACAATCTTAACGTTTTCCAATGCTGTAAAAGTGTGTAGAATATTTAATTTCAACATTTCTGTCAACGAAGATTTGCGTCATAGCCTGCGACACACGTTTCTATCAGCAGGGCGGGATGCCAGGCAGGTAGCTGTTGTAAACAAACCGGCGGCTGTGTGATGCGCCATGTAGCGCAAGCTGTCTTTGCCAAAGATGTACAGCGGGGCACGCTTTCTCATTTTCCCTCACTGAGAGAATTCAAAGAAGCCTATCCCGATCACTCACTCAACGGTGATTATTTACAAGGTGCGATCGTTGATATGCAAACTGCATTTGGGAGCAGATTTTGCGAGTTGCGAAAGGAAAAAACAAGACTGTCTTTCCTTGACACACACCCCTGGAGATTGACCCTTCCTTGTTGAACACATTCCCAGGAATGACTCGAGCTGATCTTGAAATGGAAATGGCAGGCTGTTTGTTGCCCAGATAAGGGGCACGTTGTGCACGTTCATTTTGATGTTGTTTTTTTGAATCCTCAAAATAAAAAAAAAAAACATTAAAAAATCTGATTTCTTTATTGCATTTCTTTAATTTCATCAAAGCAAAACATAATGCAATAATATTGTAATGAAGTTAAACTTGAACATTAAACATAATGCAGTAATATTGTAATGAAGTTAAACTTGAACATTAAACATAATTCATTAATATTGTAATGAAGTTAAACTTGATCATTAAACATAATTCATTAATATTGTAATGAAGTTAAACTTGATCATTAAACATAATTCATTAATATTGTAATGAAGTTAAACTTGATCATTAAACATAATTCATTAATATTGTAATGAAGTTAAACTTGATCATTAAACATAATTCATTAATATTGTAATGAAGTTAAACTTGATCATTAAACATAATTCATTAATATTGTAATGAAGTTAAACTTGAACATTAAACATATTTCATTAATATTGTAATGAAGTTAAACTTGATCATTAAACAATTCATTAATATTGTAGTGAAGTTAAACTTGAACATTAAACATAATTCATTAATATACTGTAATTAAGTTAAACTTGAGACGGCATCGTACAACAGAGTAGTCACGTGGCGCGTCATTCTCTACAGGATGCACTGCAGGGAAATGAACATTTAACCATGAAGGCTCAGTATGTATTTGTAGCCAACGAAGTCATTTTTATAGTATGCTAATATAGCTAATATAAATACATACAGCATGTGTTGCCATCATTATAAGGCTTATATAAAGCTTTTAATTTTTTGCGGCTCCAGACATATTTGTTTTTGTTTTTTTTGGTCCAATATGGCTCTTTCAACATTTTGGGTTGCCGACCCCTGACATCTCTTTAAACTATACATACAAAGAGTTCTAATACAAAAACCTCTAAGTGCCACCTGAAATTTCCATAAAAATTTAAATTTTTCTCAGCCTTCTTTCTTTGTGTCGAGATATTTCACTTTAAAGACCAGAAAAAGGACTTATTCTTTGACATAAAAGTCTGAAGACTGAATATACACACATGAGCCTGATAAAAATGCTTATTTTAGAGGAACTTTTGACAGCATTTAGAGGTTTTTGCATCTAAACACCTCATATATAGACACACAAAGCAGTCAAATTAACAAGCTCTTTAGGAAGACTGTGTTCTTACCAATGCCAAGATGTGTGTTGATGGATGCATAGCGCGCAGTGCCTGTGAGGTTCTTGTTCTCACGATAGGGAATGTGCTGGTGTGTTCGGGCATCACGGTATTTCTTTGCCAAACCGAAGTCAATTATGTAGACAAGGTTGCCTTTCTTTCCCAAGCCCATCAGAAAGTTATCAGGCTTCACGTCTCTGTGAATGAAGTTCTTGGAGTGGATGTACTCTATGCGGCTAATCTAATGTATGCAAGGTTATATAAAAAACAAAAAGAGGATTATAAAACCAAACCCAGTGTACTGAAGGCTAAATAATTCTTTATTTTGACTCATACCATCTGATCGGCCAACAGGAGGACAGTTTTCAGGCTGAATTTTCTGGAGCAGAAATTGAAGAGATCCTCCAGACTGGGGCCGAGCAACTCCATCACCATCACGTTATAATCTCCTTCTGCACCACACCACTTTATGGTAGGGATGCCAACTGCAAAGGAAAACACACAAACATCTAAGTATACAACCTGAAAAGCATGTACATGCTTACTGGCATGTATGAAACATTTTACTGATTACACTGATTTATTGAGCTTCCAAAGATTTAATTTACTGATGAAACAAGGCCCCGTTTCTCATTACCTCCACCCTGCATCATCTTGTAAATCTTGCTCTCGATATGGAGCTGTGGATGCTTTGTCTTCACACATTCCAGTTTGATGGCCACTTCCTCTCCAACTGAAATGTCTGTGCCTGGGGCAGAGCGAGAAACAGAGAAGGAACAGAGCCATTAAAACAGTGAATGGGGTCAGAACACAGCACACAGAATGTCCAACAAACTGACATGACTGCAGATCATGATTAATTGACTGAATACTTTCATGCACTACTGTAAGTTTGATCATCCTTAATGCATCCTTGCAGAAATAAGTTTTACTTTTGGAAAAATTAATTATGCAGTGATCCTTGGGTTCTTCTACACCTTATGACTGCACATGGGACAAGCCTTCCTAGCTATTTTGACATGCATAAAACATGGTCAAAATTTGAGCCAGTATCAGTCGTAAAAACAGTATTTATGCTAAAATGTGTGAACATTTTTCAACAACACATACTCAAAAATGTGTAATACTTATGATGTTTTCAGCGTCTGTGATCTTACTACATGAGGACATGCATATCAACACCAGGCTATTTCAGTTACATTAGATGAAGACATGATCAGATACACTCAGAAATGTCCCTAGAAACCATCAAAATATATTTTATTTAATTTATTTTAAATATTATAATATACATATTGTGCTATTAAACACGTATTAATTGTAATATGGTAGGCCAGTCACAATAATCAATATATTGACTTATCGCACAGCACATGACCTCAGTCCTTTTTGGTTATGCTATATATATATATATATTTCACCCATTAGGGCTGTGCAAATAATCACAATCAAATTGTGACTGATGTCTGTGTGTGAAAGTCTTACTAGCTAGCTGGGTGAGAACACTTTTGTTCTGCCCAATCAGAACTTTTCAATTTGCCTCTTATCAGCCATGCTAGTTTGCTGAGTGTTCTGTATTTTTATAATTATTATTTTTTGTTTGTATAATGAGCCACATTATCTCCCTAATTTGAGCTAAAGTGAAGTCATTTTATGTGCGTTTACTGGTTGCTCTAGAGAAAAATGAGTTCAATTTCTGAATATTAAAAAACAAATCTGAATAAATGTTGAATAAATTAAAAGTTAAAATCTTTTAATATTATTGAGCTGAAGCTTGACTACAAAATGAAATTGCAATTTGCAAATCAAATCACAATCGAAATATGTTAAAATAATAAAAAAAATTGAAAAAGCACACAGTGGACTAATCAAAATATCATATTTATTGTTTAATGGACATAAGGAAAGACCAATTTGAAACGGAAATGGCTACCCACGTCTGCTTGAACAGAAACTGAAAGATTCTTTCGGCTGGTTTCTGTTTCTGGTTGAAAAACAACCAACAGTTTAATCTTCTGTTTGGTTGTTATCAAAGAAACCCATGTCTACACACAACTTAATCAGCACGCCAGACACATATAGAGTACAAACAATCAGCAGCACCACATGACAACATTTACATCAAATGAGAGAAACATTCAAATGAGGAGCAGGAACAAACCCGTCTCTGTCAACGAACAATGTAAACAACATGGTTCTGCTCTGGCTTCAGATCAGCTTTACAGCCTTAATAATATGTTATGCAAGAGCTAATAAAAACAGAAAAGAAAAAATTGACTTTCCAATAGTTAAACATAAATATGAAAGTGGATAGAAACTGCTGATAAGGTGTTCTTAAATGCAAATTGCAGCCAACAAAACAAGATAACAAAATGAGATCTCTATTTTTGGTGGTGAAAAATAAAGAGTAGTGACAGATCTGGCATCCGATCTACATGCAACATCACATCATAAAGCCAAACCAAACGCTATGAGGTTACATAAAAGCTGATGGAAAGAAACCAGAAGTGAAAAGGAGTGGAACAGTCCTGGATGATTCACACACCTGAGGCCTCCTATGATGCCAAGTGATGCAAATGTAACGGAATCCCAGAAAAAAGGGAGAGGTAGAAGCAGATTGCGTTTTACACTGACTGTTTGATCAGTTCTAAATGCTGTAACATGACGTAACAAGTCCAATCAGGTTGGGTTTGGTCTTCTAAACATCTAATAGCAGATGATTTGATAGCATTTCACAGATGATTTGAGTCATGTGGTGAAGATCTTCGTTTAGCACTGCCTCAACAACACTTCTGACGTTCATGTATTATTTGAAAAGATTCAATTATATTGACGTACCGACGCGTGGGTGCAGTTACGAAATAAATGAGCAGATGGAGTTTTACAGTCTCAACACACTCCCCAAGCCCTGTTCTCATACACTTACAGACTGAAACAATCCCACCTATGCTGAAAAGCTTTGGGATAAAGGTCTCACCACACTTTAAGGTGATCAACATCTCTTTGCAAACACTGTCAAAACAAAGGCTGATTGCATTTGAGCTTGACATCTGGAGGTACTTTAATCGGTAAACATTCTGTTGATTGGTTTCAACCCAATTAAGATGAACAATGTTAATAAGGATAAGGCTAAAATGTGCATGTTTTCCTTGAATGCCTAAATTTACAGTAGGGCTGAAGGTTTTGCTTTAAATAAATACAAAATAAACATGATGAAGATGCGTCCATATCAAAACAAAATAACAAAAGTGTCTTCTATAAATTTTTGTTGACCTAAATATGCTTGTTACTATAACACTAAAGGGTTGCACGGTTTACCGGTACTATGGTAGTATGGAGATACCATGGCTCCAAAATACTGGGGATGCCACTGTAGTTTGTAAACGATAGTATCGTCATTAACCGTCTATCTAAAATACAAGATACAGAAAACATGGATACAATTTTTGACCATTACATGAGGCCTAATTTGGTTGGAAAAATTCTCTTTTTGTAACAAATTTGTATAATTGTATAACAATTTGTATCTTTATTTTAGTGTATTTTTGTTAGTCATCTACATAATAAACAAAAAGAATGAATACATTTTAGGTGAAGTGACATGCAAATGCTTTTTCTAATAAAAGGGAATTATTAATTACATTCAAGTGGGCATATTATAACATAAAATATAGTATTTCTGTCAATTTTCTTTATTTGATAAATTGAGTTATGATTTAGAGAATCACAATACCACTTGGTATCCCGATACTTCAGCTGGTATTAGGCATGGGACAATAACCATTTTCAAGGTATACTGTGTTTTGGAAAAGTCAAGGTTTTAAAACCGATAAAAAAAAAAAAAATTCTGTTATACCATTCATAAGGTACGTGTACGATTTTTTATTTACATTTATTTTTTGCTTGTTTTTTTTTGGACAACAATATCTTCAGCAGAAAAAATATCCAAAGATGTCATTTTAAATTGTAAAGACATTTCATTTTTTTTTCTGTTTTTGAAACTAATGAAGACAGCTAAAGCTAATGATTCATTTGAATTATTTAGCCTGACATGTTTACAGCTCTAAAATATTATAAATGTTTAAAAAAAAATTAAATATAGTGTTTACAAAGGGAAAAAAGTTTGTTTATTACCCAGAGATTTCAAAAAGAACATATTTTAGAGCAGTAATAACAATACCTTGATATTTATATCCAAGGTTATCATACCGTCAAGAATCATATACCAACCCATGCCTAGCTGGTAACGTATAGTATCGTAACACGTATTTTAATGGTATCGCGACAACTCTACACGGAATGAAAATTTATTGATCATCTTCTGTAAATGAAGTTTAAAATAATGTCATTATTGTGCTCTCAAAAGTATAGAAGACAACTGAGAAATAAAACTCATAAATGTGGGATATAAACTAATTAAATCTTATCTTTATTTTTTGTGATACTGATGCTTTCAAGCATGAAAGCCATTTAGCATGTAAATAAAGAGTTCTTTAGGTTCCTGACTGTTGCTCCATGAAAGATCCATCAGTCAAAATGGTTTCATTAAATGCACCATGACCCTGTGATCAAGACAACTAGACAGCATGAATCCTACAGATCTCTGATAGTATGATCATAACAACTGCATCGACCAGTCTTGGTTGAATATCCATTAGAGGCTGAATCACCAAGTCAGGTTTGGCCTTTAGGGTGGTTCAGGTTTTCAGTAAAACCTGTGTGGACAGGTAAGATTCATTCAGAGTTTACACACAAGGGAGGTCCCGTTTGGAAATGAACACCCAGTGAAATAACTCGATGTAACGTTACATCAATTATTGTGATGTGTCATATCTCTCACATCAAAGTTTGATGTCAAAACCATAATATAACGGTCAAATGTAAAACCATGAAGTGTCAAACATTCACTAACGTTATATGAGCTTCTTTCAAATGGACGTTAAGTTTATGAACCCCAAAACTTCTTAAACTCTGAAATACGTTCTTGTCAGGGTTATAAAACACGATTGTTTATACTAGACAAACTATAACGGGTCAATATTTGGAAATACGGCTGTGACAGTTACAGCTGGTAAATAGATATAAAACATTACAGCATATTAGCCGTGTCGTATTATTGACAGTTTTATGACAACATTTGTATGAGTGTTTTGGTTCATACGTACCTAAATAAATGTCACCAAACGATCCACTTCCAATTTTTCTGCCCAGTCTGTATCTGTTTCCAACTCGTAGCTCCATTGCTGTTTATCGGTTTCCGCCGAGCGAGTCGCTGGATTGAATATCAAGGTAATTTCTATTTAACCAGACGATGTCAGCACTTAAATTCGACTTTACACAAACAAATGTAACCCGTTATTTAACTGCTACAATCCTAAATATCTTTATGCGACCCCAACCCCCCCGAATCCCTGAGGAAAATCCGGATTCTTCTGACGGAGTTCACGTTTCACCATTCCTTTTTTAACGTTTCAAAGTCCGAAATGTCACAATTTTTAGATCAGGTGAAAGCTTAGACTCTGTAGATTATGCTCCCGTAGGTTTGGTCATCGTTTTCCCCAAGGATGGTGAAGATGGAGGTGGATTTTACAAGCGGACCCGCGTCGCAGGAGCTGTCACGGGCCTCGTATCTCCTGTGGTGAACACGAACGTAGCGCTGTGACGTCACTTCCCATTGGCAACGCCTCGCTCGCTTGGCACAGTCACGTGGGAGAAACGCTGGATAAGTTTCATTAGGTCAGTCTCATTAACTGTCTCGAACAACAATTAATTCATTATTTTTGGACATCTTTACATTAGTTAAATCTAATTTACTAATGTACCATGGGTGAGTACAGAACAATGATGCTGAGTTGTGTGAACGCGTATAGGTATAAACCAAAGACTGTGATAAATGTGAAGTAACTGGTATTTATTTTAATACATTCATGGATTTGTCACGCTAATTAGACAGTTTTGCACATTTAATTTATCTAACATGTACAATATTGTTGTAATATGTCCAAATCATTAAATCGATATACCAGTACAAAAATAATAAAAAGTAATCATAAAATAAAATCAAAGTCTATAAACTTGTATTTACCATATGCATTATATTGTGTATACATGTACTATTGGCATTAACCAGATAAAAACAAACAGAATTATAATAACAGAAAATTCCAAACTATTTAATTATTGGACTCAATAATAAACACCTAAAATTATTTTAATTAGCTTTCCACTCAGCTTACACCACGTTCCAGGAGGACCACCAACTTTGCACAATTTTCTAGTCCCCTTAACCAAACACACCTAATTCAGATCATTGGCTCATTAGCAGAGACTGAAAGATGTGTAATGGGTGTGACAGACAAAGGAGACATCCAAAACATGCAGTGTTGGTGGTCCACCAGCTGGTTGAGAAACACCAGCTTACATCATAAAGTTTTTTATTCTTCAAAACAAATGAAATACTACCACTACTAATAAAAATAATTATTAATACAATTATTTGTATTATTCAAAAAATAGATATTCGGCTTCACATAATTGGGTCAAACAAATGACCTAACCTAACAATACTCAATTTTATTTTAAACTTATAATTTAATATATAATAACCACTGTGAAATCTGCAGAAATGTAACTGTACATAAGGTAGTTTTTACACTAAGGGTCTGATAAAATTCTGAAATTATTTAAACTTTTTTCAATACATTATTTTCAAAGTATTTATAATGAGTTAAATAATAATAGATTAGATTAGATTCAACTTTATTGTGATTAGACATGTACCAGTACAGGGCAATGAAATGCAGTTTAGGGCTAACCAGGAGTGCAACAGCAGCAAGTGCAGGAAATAGGTACATTGCTCAGCATAATTGAGTACCCTTTATTTTAAAAATGAATATTTTTATCCATTTCTCAGTGAATATATGCAAGGTATTTTGGTGCATTTAAACAAAACAGATTTATTAAAGATATATTTATTAAAATAATATTTTAGTCACCTAACATATTTAGAAACTGAAAGATAACACAATTAGATTCTAGCAAAATATTGCAAATAAAATTACAAACAACAAAATATCAACTAAATATTTGAATATTTTGCTTCTCTTGATTTTTCCTTTTTTTAATTTTGTATTTAATTTTTTTTATAACATATAAATGTGGCTGTACTAGTTTTTGGACCCTTATAAGTTATTTTGTTAGATAAGCTCCAGATTTGGCTTCAGTGCTGACTAAACTAATGTATATACACAAATATAATATTGTATAGCTTCCTATAGAAAATATGAGTTTAAAAGATAGATTTGTGAGGGGTCTTATATATGCTGAGCACTGTGTAAGTTAAAAAGTGCAATTACAGAAAAACTATGGTGATATTTCAGATGGATGTACTATGAGCATTAAATACAGGTTGTATTAACTATGAAGAGATTTTCCATAAATTTACAATATGTACAGGTTGCTATTAATAAACAGAGTTATGCAGATAGATAAGAACATAATTAAAAGTGTATATACAGCGAGCATGTACAATTCAAGATGAATTAGTGCAGCGTAGTGCAATGAATATGTGCAATTTTAATTGTGCAAATATTGAATAATAATTAAATAATGCAGTATTTATGGGCATGTCAATAATAGTCAATAATAAAAAGAAATTTCCATCAGACAAAAGGCAGACCTACAGTTTCAAATCGTGAATGTTTTGGAAAAACAGAAGGCTTAAGAACTTAACACAGTGCGTCACAGACGGGCTCCATCTGCTCTTATGTGTGTCGAGCTGACTGTCCACTGATCGGACAAGCCTCTGTCTCGAGCCCTAAAACACGGCGAGGTAAATACTTAGTAGTAATCGAGGAAGTGGGACAGTTGTGGAACAGTAACATCCTGTACCATCTCAAGCGTGTGTGGACTGTGCAGTGTGCAGGGCCCCTGGACACGCCCACGCGCTTGCTGATTGGTGGATGATCGTTCGCTCGGTCACGCAGAAACCAATCAGGACACGGTCACATGGCTGTAATGTTTTCAGCAGATTGCGTAACAGTCTTTGCACGTGTTGCTCAATGCTCAACAAGAGCCAAGAGTAACTGAACGAGCCGTTCAGAAAAACAGAAACCAATCAATACCTAAACACGAGATTTTAACTAGTTATTAGAACTAAAATTACCATTTTTAAATATAAAATGTAATTTGTTTTACTCTCTGCCAGCTGAACTCCAATAAATCGAAAAAATTACAATATATTAAAACAAATATAATAAAAATATTAAATATACACATTAATTATTAAAAACACGATTTTCTTTTCAGGCATCAGAGGTAATAAAAACATCTTAGTTTTTATGATTACCATATAACACAGTTTTAAAGTTAGGCTTGATATTGTAAAATTGGAGTGGGATAATTATGCAGTGACCGAAAAAAGCAAAGCTTAACCATCTAATATTTGCCTTCAGAAGTTGCAACTCTTGTATGACTTTCGTTTGTTTGTTTGGAGATATGTTTGCTAATGCGGACATCTAGTGGTCGTATGTATGAATAGCAGTAAGTAGTTGGGCTGGAAAAAGGCACAGGTTATTTTTGTACATTTTTGACTAGACTAGAAAATATTTTGCAAGTCTGCAATGCTCCTCTTTGTAATTTTAAAATATAAATATGGGACAATGCCTAAATCCAGAATGATATGAAAATTCCTCTATCGTATGAAATATGTATAGTTCCCATAGAAATGAAAAGTGAATGCCATGTACCTTTTTTTTTTTTTTGCAAAAAAAAGGGAAACCAAAACTGCATGGCTTTTTAATTTAATGGCAATAAATGTTAAGCTTTTATTAATTTTCTATGCATTCTGGTAATACATAGTTTGAATATATTTATTATTTAACAAAAAAAAAAAAAAAAAAAAAAACTGACATTGACTACAATTCCATTAGCGCAGACTCAGACAATTGCACTTAAAAAAAAAATGCTTAAAACTGTATTTACTTAAGGGTTTTGTCTTTGCTTACATTTCTTTATATACAATTTAGAACAGCTCTTTACAAGTTCCTGTTTTTCTTTATGCCATTTTCCTTTAGCATGTACGTAAACATCAGGTCTTTTCTCAGTAACTGACCACACGCTTCATGTCATGATAAATCAGGTGACTGGTAGGAAAAGCACTTTGCAGGCATTATAAACAGAGGACATATAAAGCCTGGATCAGATTACCAACAACTTTTAAGAAGCATACATTTCCCCCCTTGACATGCAGATTCTCAGTATGAAGATAATTAGGTTAACTAGGCAGGTTAGGGTAATTAGGCAATACAATAACGATGGTTTGTTCTGTAGACTGTCGAAAAAAAAAAATTGGCTTAAAGGGGCTAATCATTTTCACCTTAAAATGGATTAAAAAAAATAAAAACTGCTTTTATTCTAGCAGAAATAAAAACAAATAAGACTTTCTCCAGAAGAAAAAATATTATCAGACATATTGTAAAAATTTCCTTGCTCTGTTGGAAATATTAAAAAAAGAAAAAAAATCAAAGGGGGCTAATAATTCTGACTTCAGCTGTATATATATATATATATATATATATATATATATAGTAACTCTGGGGGCCCAGAGACTTTATGGGCCCCCAGAGATATTAGGGGGTCCAGTCTCCAACTCTCACCCCTGTGACACTCCCGTGACCGGACGAAACAGAATTGATCTATTATACTATTACATGTTTACATTTAAATAGTCCCTGTGTTCGCGTGGGTTTCCTCCAGGAGCTCCGGTTTCCCCTACAGTCCAAAAACATGCGCTAGGTTAATTGGCAACCAACAAACCCAGATCTGTCCATCAGATTGCATGAGATGCGTGATTGGTCACTGCTCCAGGCTGAGAAAGAAGCATGATTGGTCATGCACCAATATGAGAAGTTTGATTGGTCGCTTCTCCAGGCTGTAAAGCGTGATTGGTCATACTCCAGACAGAGAAGCTTGATTGGTCACTTCTCCAAACTGAGAAGCGTGATTGATCATACTCAAGACTGAGAAGCTTGATTGGTTGCTTCTCCAGACTGAGAAGCATGATTGGTTAAGCTCCAGAGTGAGAAGTGTGATTGGTCGCTGCTCAAGGCTGTAAAGCGTGATTGGTCATACTCCAGACTGAAAAACATGACAGGTCATACTTCAGACTGAAAAGTGTGATTGGTCATACTCCAGATTGAGAAGCTTGATTGGTCACCTCTCCAAACTGAGAAGCGGGATTGATCAAGCTCAAGACTGAGAAGCGTGATTGGTCGCTGCTCCAGACTGAGAAGCGTGATTGGTCAAGCTCAAGACTGAGAAGCGTGATTGGTAGCTGCTCCAGGCTGAGAAGCGTGATTGGTCATGCTCCAGGCTGAGAAGCTTAATTGGTCATGCTCCAGACTGAGAAGCATGATTGGTCGCTGGTCCATACTAAGAATCATGAAAAAATGAAAAAGGCTCAATAAACATAAACATACCAGGTGAAATCTGTCTAAATAGAAAAACTTCACTCAGAGATGAAAGTTTGTGGTTAGTCTCTAACTACACATGATGTGAGTGACTCTTCTTTGGCATAATTTCAGCTGAAACCATGATTGTTGAAAGTCAAACCAGTTATAGGCAATACAAAATTAATACCCATGTTCTGGTTCCTAATGATAAATTGAGCTCTTAATAATGAGACAATCGATCTGTGCAAGAAACATTCTTCACAATCCGCACACATGCTTGCACTCAGTACAGTTGGCAAGGCTGTGAATTAAACAATAACATTTTTTTACATTGTTTCAGTGTATTCACATTATTCTGCAATGCTGAGGTGTACACTTTTTTAAAAAGGTTAAGGTTGTTGTAATTGGTGATACAATCATTCTAGGTGGGATTCCTGTTTTTATTTATTTATTTTTATTTTTTTTAATAAAGCTGACGAATAAACTGAAATGCCTCTAGGTTTACTATTTCCATAGTTCTGTAATCTGAACTGAAATATTTGTGATCTTAAAATGCTGATCTTTCGCTGGAATCATCAGCAGTGGCGAAATGAGAAGCGATTCAATACTTTTATCTGGCACTGCTCTTTTCACTCTATCCAGCACTTCCCTTCATCCAGCTGCTCTGCTCTGGCCCTGCTTTTTAAAGGTTTCTTTTCACTTTGTCCTTTTTGTTGTTTTCATTTTCACCCCACCCTCTTGGATGCATCCACGCTCCACCCTCCGTTCTCCTACTTTTCTGCATTTTTTTCTCCCTGGCTCCTTATGGCATGCTGAGTTTGAGAGTGGAGGAGGGAGATGTCTTAAAAACACTGACCGGCAATCAGACTCTTGAGAGAGAAAGAGCAGTGCGGCCCAGTCAACGCAAGCATCCTCACGGCAGCCCAGCGGAGCTTCTGTGGACACTCAGGTTTGGACCTGCCAAGATAAAAGGTAGGCAATTCGGGACTGGACATTTTCAACAGTATTGCATGTCTTTTCATTCTGTACGTAGGCTATTCAACTTTGAAAAATTACAAACAAATCACATGGCTACACATAATGGCATGTGGCATGGTGAGATAAACCCTTTCCAGATGCCAGAGAAACTGAAGCCTGGTGCAAAACAAAATGCATGGACAATAACAGCCAAATTTAAATGTGATGTTTACTTCTTTAATCAATACTCCATGTATTAACCTTGCATCTCCCACCATTGCACACTATGACACCTAATATGAATGTAACTTTAAAAAGTTAAGGTAACCAATCAAATCAATTAAAAAACAACATAAAATATATACAATTTTGCTTAAACTAAGGTTCAGCTAGTTGTTGAATATTAGAGTAATACTAGACTCTCCTTATATCTGCTAAAACTTTATTTTGATGGTCTTCTAACTGACGTTTTACAGACTGTGATGAAAGTTAGTTGACATGTAGTTGCAAAATTGCACAGTCAACAGATAGTCTAAAGGAGACCATCAAAGTCTACCGAAAAGATTGTTTATCTTGTGCATAACCTGAATGCATATGAATGAGAAATGTAGGCATTCTTTAATCATATATATTGTGTTATTTTGGGGAACGCACCAATGTCCAAATAATTATTTGGCTGAACAAATTTATATAGAAGAGGTGCACAGCTGGATCCAAATGAAACAACACCCTGGATTTAAATACTATAAAGTAAATAATCTCACCCAGATCCCATGCTTTCCCTTGAAAAGTATTGCCATTTGTAGCATCGTTATAAATTTCATGCAGACAAAAGCAATCCCAGCATGAATTTTTGATTATGCATGGAAACAGTAGCACTGCCACAGGGTGCAGAATTGAATCTAGGACAGGAATTCTTGAGACATGCCATCACAAAGCCAAGTTCAAATTGCCTCATCTCCTGCAACTGAGAGAGACAGTCGAAATCTGACACTATTACGAACTGTTCTACACCAGATTGCTTTTAACCCAACCAAATATTCCAAACCACATAACAGAAGTTGTGTAACACAGTTTTCTTGCATAATTTTCCAGATTTGGCTCCTCCTAGAATTCCCTTTTGAAAGATGTCACGTTTCTGAATGGGCTGAAAGAGATTAGTTGAAGATGAGTGTTTTTCTTCAGTTCAGTGATCCATGGAGGATGTTTAAGTTCAGGCAAGGTGGCTTATGTGGGTTAAGGGTGGTAATGACCTCAGTGTTATGGTCATACAGACTTCAAAGTGACTGCGGATACTGTTTAAGCTTTGATGTCAGCTGTGTCTATTTCTAGCTTAAAGTAATATTAATGGTTTTTCTAAAAAAAAAAGAAGCCCTAGAGAAATGATAATGTTTTGTTGGATTTGGTGATTAAATATTTTTGGAAACTCAAAATGTTCTCATCCATATCCAGTCATACTTCAGTGGCTACTAGTTGACATGTTGTTGCACAGTTACTTTTTGTATGGTCAACAGGATTTCTGAAGAGTATCATCAAAATAAAGTGATGACAATGCTGCTTTTTAAAGAAGGTAGGCAAAAAAGATAAAAGAGTTGTATAAAAACAAGATAAACTACATGGTCACAGTACACATTTGTCGAATGTTTCCTTTAAAAAAAACAATATTGGTTAGGTTTAGGGAAGAGTTAGGTCAATGGTTTGCTAGGGGATCTGTATGACAAGCCCTGCCTTCTTGTGGAGATGTAAAAGAAAAACGTGTTTCTGAAACAAAACAAAACATAAGAAAATATAACTGCAGTAATGTATTTCAGAAATGTAGACAAATGTAGCCAAAATGTAGGCTGAGGTACGTATTTACATTGAGCCTGGGCTGTCTTCTGCAGCAGTATTAACCTTGCAAAATGAAACAAAGATGGCAATCCTAAACACTTCAGAACAATTCACAAGTAAACACAACAGCTTTACATGAAACTAGCAATGTAGGCATGTAAAACAATGCATAGAGGCATGTAAACTAAATGAAAAGGTAACTAAACCAGACACAGGGAAACATAATCAGTGAACAAATGTGTAACCATGGAAACACATTGCAAATGGGAAAAACAGAAACTAACATGGTAAATGTCTAAGTACAAACTAAAAAGACAAAAACAGAAAACAAACGTAAACATAAATAAAATCTAAAAATAAATAAATAAAAATAAGAATTGCTATTATTATAAGATTTAAACTGGGTGCAACTCAACATAATGTGATGATACAGCATAGTAATGTTTGGATGTTTTGCTGTCACATAATCTGCTTGTTTAGTCGTGACGTATTGGTGACATATGTAATACTGTTTCCGGGTCCAAGCCGCTACTCATTTGAATTGAGAAAATATTTGTTTATGGCCACTTTTTAGCCATATCACACTTTAAAGTGAATTGTCTATAAAATCATAGTGTACACATTGGTCTCTGGACTTACTGCATCACAAATACCATAATTTTAACAATTTATTAAAAATTAAAAAGGTACTGGCCATCAGATATTAAGCATGAACATGTATATTGTAATGTTGATTTTCGAAAGTATTACATCATTTTGTAAATGTTTATTATTACAATTTGATGAGGCTTGCATCATTCTGAAAACCTACCGCTATATATTTCTGCAGATCGCGAAATACGTCCTCTGAGGTGCATTTTTTGCAGGTTTTGTTTATGCAAATCCACCAGTGGCCGCTGTGTACACTTTTTGAGATGTCTCTTGCTAGTGCCATTCACGCTTGCTGTTCTCGCGTAAATCTACCAGAGGCCGCTGTAAACTGATTGTCTGACTGACTGACCGATAGACTGATCCACCCTCCTCCTTCCCTAAACCCAACCAATAGTGTTTTCAAAAGCATCGATTGACCCGCCCACCCACTTCCCTTAATCCAATCAACAGTTGTATAAAGCAATCCAGAAAAAGAAAAGCTCTGGCTTGGTTTTTACTATGTTTTCAGATTTTACCACATTCTCACCCTGTTATTTACTTCTTTGTTTTATTTTTTGGCTTCTGTTTTTGTCTTACCCACTTTCTGTAACCGTTCTTCACCGGACTTGAACCCCGTCGTCGTGGTCAACTCCCCTCTGCATTTCAAGTCTGCCGACATACCTGGTGAGCTAACTGGACAAACTGATAACAGCGGGAATGACGTCATACTGCCCCGTATCGTTAATTTCAAAGACGAAAAGCAGCCATACCTACTTTTGGCTACATATTTCGTGATCTTTAGAAATTTATATAGGGCAACATTTTCAGAATGAGCCTATGTTGATTTATAAGGTCAAGAAAATAAGGGTCACAGTCTTATAGACTATCTTGTTTAAATTCCAGAATTATCTTTCAACTTCATAATTCAAACATGACCTAAAAGCCCATGTCCATATAATCAAAACGTGGAATCTTGTCTTTGTATACAGCCTTCCCACATAAGACAAAGGACAGAGACTTGTTTGTACAGGTAGATGATGTTATTCAATACTTTGTTTGCAAACTGACAGGATTGTCGAAGTTCACCCCCAACAATTGTCTGCACGTTGGGAAAATAAAATAGGGTTGCCACCAGAGTCTTTCTATAAGCATGCTGTTCTCTCTTAAGAAAGTATGGAAAAGGTTAATATTTTAGACTCAAACTAATGCAAGAGTCATTTTCTAATAACTATAGCATCTGAATGAACTTGAGGAACTAAATTGTAACTGTTGGCAGACCATGTCATGCTCACTTTCATTACCTAAAGTTCATACAACTTCCTCTGAAAAATGAAATCACAAAACAGCCTGAAAGAATTGGTAAGATTTTGGGGGAATACCAACAGGTTGGTTCAAGTGTGTACAGTAGGGAAGGGGACATGGTAGTTAACCAAACATATAGGAGCTTCTTCAGAGTGCAGCACAGAGTATTCACTAAGTGGTTGAAAGAAGGTCACCAGGGTGCACACACTCAAATCCAAAGAATAGAGCCAGTACCTCATTTATGTAGCCAAAGAACTGTTATTTACACCAACAGTGAACTGTTTATCTTCAGCTGCTGACCTCAGACGCAAGTATTTCCAAAAGTGTTAGAGTGCACCTGGTTGACCTAACCTTAGAAACGATCCAGAACCAAACACTGAAGTATTGGCTGACTTTCATCCGAGCTGGACTCAGTCGGATCGTTGACCCAAGACCACACACTTGTTTTCCACTGAGAAAATCTACCAAAGCCACACCTTGTAGATCCGACACGCCACTGCATGCCTGGCAAAATTGCATTGGGATGACAAAGAGCACAATGCAGATTAGTAAATAGTTATTACGATCTGTTGTGATAACACAATGAGTATGTGTTATGACACTTCAGTTGCTGGTTGCAGTTTAGGAATGTTGAATAATGGAAAAAGCTTCAACCTTTAAACCAATGGCACCATATTTAATGCATACCATAAATTGTCATTAATTTATTTCTCAATTCATTGTATCTTAGTGTACAATTGTCTGACAAATGTAACCTTCGTTAGTTGTTAAATAGGAAAGTATCTGAATAAGAATACAAAATACAATTATGCTGCTTCTCTGACTTGATTTATACTGAACTGTTGAATTTATTTAGTTTTAAGTAACTGTAATAAAAATAACTTTATTTTTAGTGGATAAGTAATTTATTACAGTAACTAGTTACTTTGTTAATTATGAGAGAGCATGAATTATGTAGCCAGGGGATTTCTTTCAAACAAACGATACGAGGTGGTTTGACAGTGCCTACTGTTACTGTATCTTTTTGCGCTGACCACTTACCTCCATATGGACGGCTTTTCCGCTGTTACCAGTTTGCCCAGTTGTTTGCCGCGTACATCGGCAGACTTGAGTCAGAGCTGACCGCGATGACAGGATTCGAGTCCAGCGAAGAACGGTTCCAGAAAGCAGGTAAACAAAAACAAAAGGCAAAAAATAAAATAAACAAGTAAATAACAGGGTGAGAACGTAGTAAGATCTGAAAACATGGTATC